ATACGAAATACATTTACAACATTGACGGAGAGTGCACTGTTGAAGTTGAGATTCATCTTTTCTTAAATTCTCGTCGTAATGACTTGATGAAAACATTCAGAGTTTTGCAAGTATCCAGTCACACATATTCATTTGGAAAATCAGTTTCAGCTGGGATTTTTTTATTCAGGTATTCATACCGGGCGGTTATTTCAGTTTTTTTCGAGGGGGGGAGGGGGCGAAATCAAAACTTTGTCTGTTTGTTAAGTTTGTTAATACTGGAGGCGCCACATTGCATTGCAATTTGAATAGAACTTGCAAATTCAGTGGGAGAGAGGGGACCAATGCCGCACCCTGCCCTACCCAAAATGACGTGCCTGTATTCATAGTTAAGACACATGTTATAAGAAATTATAAAATAAAAAAATTAATAAAAATAAAATTTCATTTTATTTTAATATTTTTATTAATTTTTTCATTAATTAATCATTAAATTTCATTTTATTTTAAAATGATAAAATAATTATTAAAAATCTAGTTGTCCTAGAATTCACTTAGCTTTCACAATAATGTGTAACTGTTGGTGGATGCAATGCGACGTGAGGCGCCCAGTAATGTAAGTCATAACCGCAATTAAAATCCTGTTCTCCACTGAACTGCACTTTCGATAAGAACACAGCTCATACGCCCTTGCCAGGCACCTTGGACAGAAATACACCACACCTTTGTCACCTTCTATAAAAGCCAATTACACATTTGATACCAATTCAACAATGCATTGTTTCCATCGTAACGTTGTGCAACGGTTTTGAACCCTTGATATCAATATGTCAAGGCACTGCTCCTTTGATATCAATACTCTACAGCACTGCATCTTTGATAGATAAACCCCCCACACAATTTAACTTTTTTTGTTTAAATACAGAAACGCCACTGCACTGAAACCTTTGCTATTTACACGCCATGTAATGATTTTTTTTTAATTGAGAAACGCCACTGCATTGCAAATTTCCTACATGCAGATAGAAGGCACCACCTAACCCTTCAATACCACCTCAGATTTCACTTGTCACTTCTTTATACCATTGAACGCTACCACAGATCCTTATCTCTTTTTCTAATTTTTGTGATCTTTTGAAATGTTAATGAAAAGTTTAAACTGAAATACTCCATCATTCAAAGATACAGTTCTCCATCAAATCGTGTTCTTGAAAGTTTTATTTATAATGAAAAGGGCCCTGATCTAACACAGGGGTCTTAAAATCAAATTATATAGAAGATGTAGAATCTGAGTGAGACTTGGCCACATCAACAAATGTTTCATAAAAAAAGCGATTTCAATTTCAATAAAGTACAACTGTTACAGTCTGCTCAACCTTTATTAATAACAAATAGAAACATTAAGCGTTCTCAAGAACTTGGCTTCGCTTATTTACTCCCACTCCTTGTTGCCAGAAACATGGCAGCACGTCTTCTAACACAGCTGAGCAACATTTTGCTTGAGTGAGGAAGCAACTGAGACCCTTATTATAGCTCGAAGATGCTAATAAACAGTAAGTTCGATCCTGAATTTTGACTTTGTAGAGTTCATAGCGAAAAAGCTTTTCACACAGATAGGTAATCCCTCAAAAAGCACATGATCCACTTGAACAACCTGGAAATTTCAGGGAAGATAGAGGACAATGCTCTCATACATTGTCCATGCTTGTCTGTTTTTCCATTCACCTCCCTGAACTTAGTCTTGAGTTTTGAATTGCACTGAAGAACAATCAGCTCCATTTCCAGCGCAGGGGCTGGGGGAGGGAGGCATCTTCCAAATTGAAGGAGAGAGTGTAAAAAAATTCGAAAAGTATTTTGTATTTTCTGAAGTCTGCAAATCTGTGATCAAATTCTTTCTTTAGCTTTAAGATAGCATAAGTATACCTACTACTGAATGGTGTGCCCAAGGCCATGAGTACTTAGCATGTTGGGAAATAGCAGAGGTTTTTCTGAGGACGCTGGTCTTTCTTTAACCAAAGTTTTGCGCAGAATGCCCTAAAATTGACATAGGCAAAACTGACTTGCTTCCACCTGCCTTGTAACTTCTTGTTAAGTACTTTCAGCTCCTGTTTAAAGTCAAAGAGAAAAGCCAAGCCCATGAGCCATTTGGGATCACTTGGTACAGGAACAACCACACTATCCTTCTCCATGAAATGTTTGATCTCTGCTCTCAACTCAAAAAATCTTTTCAAGACGTTTCCCCTACTAAGCCAACGTACTTCGGTGAAGTAGATAACATCCTCATGTGCTAACTCTATTTCCTATAAAAAAGCACGGAACTGGCAGTGCTTTAAGCCCCTGGATCTGATACGGTTGATACATTTCACATCGTCAGATATCACATTGTCAAACTTCAGACATTTCCTGCAAAGGATGCGCCGATGGATAATGTAGTGAGGAGCAACGGCCTCTTCTGCACTCTCCTCTTCCAGTTTTCTTTGAACATATGCAATGGGTAAATTTTCTGTCCTGTCATTGATGGCGCTCCGTCGGTTGTTATTGCTGCACAATTTTAGTCCAATTGTAAAATGATTTTACCGTTATATCAAAAGTCCTAACTCATATAAATCTATATTCATAGCACTCTGTAACAAATATGATGTCTTTGGAATATGTCTAAGAAGTATTTTGTAACTAATATGATGTCTTTGTAATATGTCTGAGTTAATAGCAAGTGAATCCATTATTTCTAAATTTAATAAAATTGTACCCCATAAATAGACAGGAAATCTTTGAGGTAAATTAAGAAATAAAATAACAAATGATTGACGTAGTGAAAAACCACTTCAGATTTTTAACATAACAGGAAATTATATAACTCTAAAATAACCCTATCAATTTGTGTTGATAGCAACATGTAGTTACCATAATAATGGAGCACATAATCGTAAGCACAGTTATGAAGCATCTTGAAAGCCACAATATACTCAATGACTGTCAACATGGCGTCCGAGTCAATAGATCATTTGAGACCCAGCTCCTTGAACTGTAGAAGACTGTGTCAAACCATAGTTTGCTTCTACACACTTCAGAGCTATGGGATCCAAGGCACCACTAAAACATGGATTTCTAGCTTCCTCATTAACCGATGCCAAGCAGTAGTAGTGGACGGTTCAAGCTCCGTCATTGTCTGTGTGAAGTCAGGGGTCCCCCCAGAGATTAGTGCCAAGGACCCTGTTTGTTCCTAACATACATTAATGACCTACCCGAGAAAATGACATCCCAAGCAAGACTGTTCGCAGATGACACGGCTGTGTATAGGACGATTGCCAACAGATCTGACCAGGACCAGCTACAACAGGATCTCAATCTGTTAGCTGAGTGGGAGATGAGCTGGGACATGGAATTTCATCCTTTCAAGTGTCAGTCTCCAGAACCAGATCCCCTCTAAACCAGTCTAACGAACTGCATGGCCATATACTTGAGCCAGTTTCCTCAGTAAAGTACCTGGGTGTTACCATTCAAAGAGAAGTCCGCTGGGAAGAGCATATTAACAATTTGTATAACCAGGCAAACAAGACCCTGTTGTTCTTGAGGGGTAATCTAAATGTTGGCAAATCCAGTGGGAAAGAAAGAGCCTATAAAGCCTTTGTCCGTCCGGTTTAAGATTATGCATCTCCTGTCTGGGACCCATTTATCCAGAAGAGCATTGACAGGTTGGAGGCGGTCCAGCGACGGGCAGCACTCTTTGTCCTGAACCGCTACAGGAATACCTCTAGTGTTGCCAGCATCCTGGAAACACTAGGCTGGTCACCATTGGAGGAGCGACGACGACAATCCAGGCCCTCCATATTGTATAAGATAAATAATTGGCTGGTCCACTGCTCCAGTATTAAACAGAAACTCGTCACTCTCCCCCATAGAAAGCGACGAGGCCATAAGAAGCAACTCCAACTCATACTAGCAAGAAGCCAGTATAGGAACTGCTCATTCCTGCCAAAGATAATCAGGGACTGGAACAAGCTTTCAAAAGGAACAGTTGGTGCGACAACACTAGACACATTTGCATCTATTGCCTCAAGCCTTTCAACCCCCAGTGCATGATTCACTCACAAAGTAGCATTTGCAATCTGTGAAATACCCTCATCATCACCATGCACAGAAACATTGCAAATCCCCTCTACATGCACAGGAGCCAAAATGATCAATAAATTGATCGTGGGCTCTTAATGTATAGAAGAAGAAAAAGATAATACACTCAGTATTTTACGACATTCACTTTGCAACTTTACAACTAAACTCATTTATTTTCTCCCCGTGTTTTATCCATTAAACTCTAATGCCCATCTTTTTTCTTCGTCTTTACTTTATTATATTTTGTATGAAATAAAAATATTCAAAGTGTAATTTCTTTTTTTTTAAATTGTTCTTTTATTTTAAAATTGTGAAGGTTTTTAGCCATAGCTTTGCATCTTCTATGTTGCCAAAACAACGATAGCGTTATCCTTATTACTATAAATAAATTGTTTATTTTGAGATTATTTGTCAATATTTTACTATTCATACCTTTTTTTGTTTCCTTTATGTTTGCATGTTAGCTACATAAATCCCTTCGCAAGTAGTTGGAGATCTCTATAAAAAACTAATGTCGTTTGATATTTATAATAGATAAATTAATGAAGATTTAAACACAAAACTTCTCCACACATTTTATGTTCACAGTCCTCATGAAACGTATTGATGTCGTTATGCAACTTCAGATCACCGTTTTATCAACACTTTCTCTTATGTCCCTTATAGGAGAATGCTCAACTTTAACATGTTCAATTAAGCGAACGTTTTCTTCAATACCTACCGATTACAATTTTTTTTAAAAACTTTTTCTCATTTTGAGAACCCTTGTTCTCTAGCTAAGTAATTATATTTCAGCATGGCCTATCAAAAATCTAAAACGTATCACATTTTAAAATTTACACGGAAACAAGGATAAACAATAAACAAATTATTTGTTGACATTATTTTATTTTCACTGAAATATTCCACCGAAAAGGCACTTCTAAAGAATGCAATACTTTTTAAATAGGTTTGCTTTTTTTTTTTGTAAAAGTAAAAGAAAAAAAAAAGTCATTTATTTAAAAAAATTACCAAATGCAATTCCCCTTTTATCACAGATCACATTTGTTATTCAAGGGTAAATAACTGCTACCTTATTGTTGACTTTTATCACACATGATAGGAAATTGCAACCATGTAATAAGAAAATATATAAAATATAAATTAAAATATCACATTTTAGCATCAATAAAAATAGTTATTGAGAATTAAGCTTGTAATACTTATAAAATACTTTGGCAAATGGGTTACCGCTTGCAGTTTCATGTAAAAGGCGACATACGACTGTGGATGTATATTGGCTCAATATAATAGGACCTACAGAAGGGGAATATAGATCGTGTCAAATAGTCAAATATTATTGTTTAACTCATAGCATTAACTGTTCGGGTATTCTTTTTATATAATCTCCAAAACGAAATGCTTTAAATCCCGACCCTGAGTCATGGTGTTTGGACTTGAAATTCCCCTTTAAGGGTTTCTTTTAATAGCCTTGAGTCACCCATAAGTGGTGATGGAAGTTACCACCGATAATCATTAAATAGTGGTGGTAGCTACCACCAATAACCAAATCGTGCTACATTTCGCTTAGTTTTCAACACTACTATTAGCTATGTATGTAGGTATAGGTACAATTTATGGGGGTTAGTAGTAAGATGACGCACGCACATACACACATACACACGCACACACACTGCTAAGGAAAGATTTTTTTTTTAAAAAGTACATTTTAAATAGAAAAGTTCTTAAATCAAATTTATAACAAACTGATCAAAGTGTTAAAAACAATTGATAACAAATTGATCAAGATGTTAAATACAATGGATACAAAAATTTAGTCGTTAACTACAAGCGACACTACACCCCAAGTTTTAAGAGGCATGATAGTATGCATTATCAACATAATATGGAAGCATAAATGCAAAAGTTTGCGCAATAAATATATGTTTTAATACGTAATATCTACACAGTCAAAACAGACTGAATCTGCGAGTCTATAAACGTAGTTTCGTTGGGTGGTCATTTCAGCAAAAAGCATCAACTGTGTGTTCATTAGACTGTCCTGGCAAAAGAAGGTGTGTAAGTGTGGCGGACGAAGAAGGTGGGACAAGTGTGACGGACAGAGGTGTGACTAGTGTGACGGACAGAGGTGTGACTAGTGTGACGGACAGAGGTTTGACTAGTGTGACGGACAGAGGTGTGACTAGTGTGAAGGATAGAGGTGTGACTAGTGCGTAGGACAGAGGTGTGACTAGTGCGTAGGACAGAGGTGTGACTAGTGTTACGGACAGAGGTGTGACTAGTGCGTAGGACAGAGGTGTGACAAGTGTGATGGAGAGAGGTGTGACTAGTGTTACGGACAGAGGTGTGACTAGTGTTACGGACAAAGGTGTGACTAGTGTGAAGGACAGAGGTGTGACTAGTGTGAAGGACAGAGGTGTGAGTAGTGTGACGGACAGAAGTTTGACTAGTGTGAAGGACAGATGTGTGACTAGTGTGAAGGACAGAGGTGTGGCAAGTGTGATGGACAGAGGTGTGACTAGTGTGACGGACAGAGGTTTGACTAGTGTGACGGACAGAGGTGTGACTAGTGTGAAGGATAGAGGTGTGACTAGTGCGTAGGACAGAGGTGTGACAAGTGTGATGGACAGAGGTGCGACTAGTGTTACGGACAGAGGTGTGACTAGTGTTACGGACAGGGGTGTGACTAGTGTGAAGGACAGAGGTGTGACTAGTGTGAAGGACAGAGGTGTGAGTAGTGTGACGAACAGAGGTGTGACTAGTGTAAAGGACAGAGGTGTGACAAGTGTGATGGACAGAGGTATGACTAGTGTGACGGACAGAGGTGTGACTAGTGTGAAGGACAGAGGTGTGACTAGTGAGAATGACAGAGGTGTGACTAGTGTGAAGGACAGAGGTTTGACTAGTGTGACGGACAGAGGTTTGACTAGTGTGACGGACAGAGATGTGACTAGTGTGAAGGACAGAGGTGTGACTAGTGTGATGGACCGAGGTGTGACTAGTGTGACGGACAGAGGTGTGACTAGTGTGACGGACAGAGGTGTGACTAGTGTGACGGACAGAGGTGTGACTAATGTGACGGACAGAGGTGTGACAAATTAAACTCCGTTCCGGCTAATCTCAGCATTGCGCAAGAAAAAAACTAATCAGGATATATAATTTATGTTATTAATAAAAGGTATAATGTATCAAGTAACCAAATGATTTTAGAAACAAAATTGGTTGGATTATCAATCCTAAAAGCTCCTTAAATTTTCAAAGTTTTGCAACCAAGGTAACAGCATTGCATGAATGGATTGTATGATAAACAAACAATGCTGAAGTTTTCTTTTAAAGCATTCAAAGTTTCTTTACAAAGTATTTAACCCTCCACAAATGTTAGATCAGGTCACTTGTTGAATTTTTAACAACACATCAAAATACTAAAGAAAAACGAATTCCTCATTTTACCCACGTATTGTTATCTAATATAAATTTTTTTAAATATATATTTATGCTAATATACATGAAAGATAAATAAATACAAAAACTCGCAACACTCAATCGCATCAGCCCAGACAAGTCACGTCAATCATAAATCTATTAGCAAGGATCTTTCCTAGCCCACAGATCTCCTGAACGTCGCACACAATCCCTGCTTGCTCAAAGTCTCAGATCTCCTGGATGCTCGAGTCGCTCAGAGAAACTTCAGGACGGCGGTCACAAGAATAACTGGACCGTAGAAACTCAGCACGGTTCCTTGGTCTGGTGGAAAGAAAACAATGAATGTCAATACATCAGTACGAATGTCGACCACGGCATTATTAGAGAAATCAAACTTTAAACCAGAATGAAATAATACAGTAAATGAAGTATTGGAGTTCTTAAACACTTTTAATCTGAGTTGAACATACAGAAGGGAATGAGGTTTCCTAATCCAAAGCCAAAGGTTATATATACATATATATATATATATATATATATATATATATATATATAGCGAGANATATATATATATATATATTTATTTATTTATTTATTTATTTGTTATGAAGAAAGAATTAAAGTTAAGTTAAAAGCTTTACAATATTTTCTTTTGACAAACAGCTCCCTGTTAAAATCGTTTCTTTGCGGTGTTAGAGTCAAATACCTGATTGGAGATCAGAGATGAGACCAGCGTTGAAACTAGATTTGAGACCAGAGATGAGACCAGCGTTGAAACTAGAGTTGAGACCGGAGATGAACCAGACGTGAGACCAGACATGCGAGGAGGTATGGGACTAGATATGAGACCAGAAATGAAACCAGAGTGAAAAATAGAGTTTATATCAGAGATGAGACCAAGCGTAAGACTATATATTAAACCAGAGAAATTACCCGAGTGGAAACCAAAGAAGTGACCAGAGGTAAGACCCGAGATGAGACCAGAGTTAAGACCAGAGTTGAAACAATAATTGAGACCAAACGTGGGACCAGATATGAGTTCAAAGCCATTACCAGAGTTGAAACCAGACGTGAGACCAGACTTGAGAACAGATATGGGGCTAGATATGAGACCTGAGATGAGATCCGAGTTGAAACTAGAAATTAGAACCGAGATGCGACCAGAGTTGAGACCAGAGTTGAAACAACCGTTGAGACCAGAAGTGGGACCAGACATATGTCCAGAGCCATTACCAGAGTTGAAACCAGATATTGGACCATAGGTGAGTCTCGGTGTGAGACCAGTGAAGAGACGAGAGATGATACCACAGAAGAGACCAGAGATGTTACATAATGTTCAATATATTAAGCCATATTACATTACTGCACCCATTGTTAGCCCTCTCATAGTGACCCCCAGATTACATGCAAGATCCATGGCTTACTTGTTGTCTGCTCCAGTGTAGCTGATGTGGTTGCATTTGATCCATCTTCTCCGTTTGGGGCGGTGGTCACATTGCCTAGGACGGTGGTCTCATTTTCTGCAATGGAGAAACGATACATGCTAATTTATCCTATAATGAGCTTCTGGTCGTGGCTTAAAGTACATTGTGCACATCTGGTGCCAAAGAGATCTGCAGATCTGCTAAACTTTAGAACGCGGAAGCGGTGAACGAGAAACGTAGCGTGCAGACCAGAGTTTGTTCTCTACGTTGTTAATACAGTGCCGCGCATATATGGAGATACAACAGAGGCTGGCTTTCAAAAACACATGAGCCAAAAATAATGTTGAAATTAATTATTTTCATCATATACAGATATCCTACAAGGAAATAGAGCTGACCACGTCCCTGGATGCGACTAGAACTGGTGTCATGTCCCTGGAGACAATTCTTAATATCAAAGAGGAGGAGAGTCGTATGATGAAAGGTGGATAGTGATGGTGAATAGGAGGGTTGGGAGGCGAGGAAGCGGGACTTGTTCGCATGCTCGTTATTACTGTGAAAATCTCCAATAGCTGTGCGTGGAGCTTGGATCTTGGATCAGGTATGTGGCTCTGACTGCCACTGAGCTCACGTAGGTGACTTTCTGCCACTTGGTTCAAGTACGTAACTCTGACTCCCACTGAGTTCTCGTGACTTTGCTTTAGAATTAGATTGCTAAAAAAAAAAAACGAAGAAAGTTCTGGCTTTCCGAGAGGACTAAGCTACCATTCAAGTCAAGGCTACTACTCCAGTCAAGGTTACTACTCCAGTCAAGGCTACTACTCAAGTCAAGGCTACTACTCAAGTCAAGGCTTCTACTCAAGTCAAGGCTACTGAATGCAAGGTTTCTACTCACGTCGAGGCTACTCTCATGTCAAGGCTACCACTCAAGTCAAGGCTACTACTCACGTCAAGGCTACTTCTAAAGTCAAGGCTACTACTAAAGTCAAGGCTACTACTCACGCCTAGGCTGCTACTCACGCCAAGGCTTCTACTCAAGTCAAAGCTACTACTCAATTCAAAGCTACAACTCAAGTCGATTATTACCTTGGCCATCTACGAGTGTGAAGGACGAACAATAATATACAAAAACATAAACCATATTTTCCAGTTGCCAGCCCTTGAGCTATGCTGAACGCATAACGATCAAATACATTTGGTTAGCATGAGAAGCAAAGAATCTGTGTTAGTAAAAAGAAGTTTTAAAACTTTTCGGCCTACGTCTTCATCAACGCCAAATAAACGTTCATTGTCATCATCTGTCGTTAAGACGATCGCCTCCTCCTAGGTCAAGACGGTAGCCGCCGAGACATTTTGTCGTGCTGAAAACAGAGAGGACACTGACTTGCATAGACTATCGTGGTACTTACCGGATGAGGGCGTTGCCGTAACGCTGACGCCAGAACCAGTTGATGGTTTTTCCTTTGTGGTCAAAGCTGCTGTTGTACCTCCTGTTGGTGCTGTGGGCGTGGTTGCAGGTGATGAGGCTGCTGTTGGTGCCCTTGTAGAGGTTGCAGGTGAAGAAGATATCGTTGGCGCTGTTGTAGCGGTCGCCTGTGCCGTTGTAGCGGTTGTAGTGGGTGTGTCTGTTGTCGGTGATGTTGTAGTGGTTGTAGCAGTTGCATCTGTTGTTGGTGATGTTGTAGTGGTTGTAGCAGTTGAATCTGTTGTTGGTGATGTTGTAGCGGTTGTAGCAGTTGAATCTGTTGTTGGTGATGTTGTAGCGGTTGTGAGAGTTGTGTCTGTTGTTGGTACTGTTGTATTGGTTGTAGCAGTTGAATCTGTTGTTGGTGCTGTTGTATTGGTTGTAGCAGTTGAATCTGTTGTTGGTGCTGTTATATTGGTTGTAGCAGTTGAATCTGTTGTTGGTGTTGTTGTAGTGGTTGTATCAGCAGTTGGTATTGTTTCAGACGTGCTATCACCACTCTCAGCAGCTGCAATACCTTTTAAATATACCGATATTTTAAATATATTGATAGTTAAATTTATTGATATATGAAATATATTGAAAGATAAAATATATTGATAGATTAAATATATTGATAGAGTAAATACAGGGATATACTTATTATTACGTTCATTTATCAGATAACAAGAAAGCTTAGCAAAGTTGTTAACCGGTCTAAAAAAAAATATTCTTTTTTTTTTTTTTAAATTCTGCATTTTTCGCTAGGGTCTTCTTTAATATGGGCTTCGACTGATGAGACAGAAATGAATGAGAAATGTAATAATATCTTTATAGCAAACACTATCATCTCGACCAAACACTCACTGAGACCTATGCCCTACGGCCTGTTGCCATGAAACCATTTGTATTGCATAAAGTCTATGAAACTGTCTATCTCGTAAAAAAAGACGCTAGACTTTTTTTTGTTTAAACACGTTAAATTGTTGGCACGTACCTGCATAAAACATCAAGACCACGAGGAAAGCTGAAAGACATTTTAAAAAGAAAACTATATATATATGTTAATAAATTTAAATTATGAAATTCTATTGACATGAATATCGTTGAATTTTGTATTTAAATTTTTTTTTTAAAGTATAATTATATGTTTTAAAAATCCAGCTGCAGAGTAGAAGGGTAACTTAATCAGTCCAATTCTAAGTTTAATTTCCTATTCTTTGTCATTTGCCTCTTACGAGAACACTATTGTCTATTACATCGAGTTTTAAATGTACCGATATATATTACCTGAGATTTTTTCGTGAAAAAAAGACATAAAACGGAAATAGCTTTACGCATCCGAGTAAAAAAAGGTTTTGTTTCCATTCGAAACTGACGTGAAACAGAGATAGCTTTGTAAGTCTCAGTAACAAATGGTTACATCAATTCCAAATGGACGTAAAACAGAAATAGCTTTATATGTCTCAGTGACAACTGGTTACATCAATTCCAAATTGGCGTGAAACAGAAATAGCTTTATATGTCTCAGTAACAACCGGTTACATCAATTCCAAATGGACGTAAAACAGAAATAGCTTTATATGTCTCAGTGACAACCGGTTACATCAATTCCAAATTGACGTAAAACAGAAATAGCTTTATATGTCTCAGTAACAACCGGTTACATCAATTCCAAATTGGCGTAAAACAGAAATAGCTTTATATGTCTCAGTAACAACTGGTTACATCAAGTCCAAACTGTCAAGAGATTAAACATAAAATATAATAGCAGTGTTATTTCAGTGCTCACCCAAAAAGCGGGCCATCTTTCTCTCTTGGTATCTTTCTTCTTTCTTTTCTTTAGTCCTTGCTTGCTTCCTTGCTTGATTGCGCTTTCCCCCCTTCTCTTTCTTGCTTCCGAACCTTCCTTGCTTCTTTGCGTCCTTGTTTTCTTGCTTGTTTTCTTGCTTCGTCGCTTTTTTGTTAGGCAATCTGAGGAAGAAGAGATGACATGCCGTCATCACCTGGCTGCGATGTAGGACACATTGACTCAAGCCTTACATCTAGCATGGGTAGGGGTGCCAAACTACGACTGGTTGGGACAAATAATACGGGTCAATTCTCTTTTGAACTATGACAGATTGGCTCACATAGACGTCAAGCCGCTGTCAAATTATGACAGTTAAGCTCAAAGACAAGCAATTACGCGTTATGATTGAGACAGGAAATGGGTGAATGAAATTTGAACATCCGGTGACTTATAAGTTATAAATAAGTCACAATTTCAAGTCAGAGCCATGCAAGTCTATGAAATTCAGGTGAATGATATTCCCGTCAATGCTATTCAAGTTAATGGCATTCAAGTCAACGCTATTCAAGTCAATGCTATTCAAGGCAATGCTATTCAAGTCAATGCTATTCAAGTCAATGCTATTCAAGTCAATGCTATTCAAGTCAATGCTATTCAAGTCAATGCTATTCAAGTCAATGCTATTCAAGTCAATGCTATTCAAGTCAATACTATTGAAGTGAATACTATTCAAGTCAATGCCATTCAAACAATTTAGAATTAATATATTATCCTCAAATTTTTGTAATAGACACTAACATAAATTATCTTCATCGTGGGAAAAAGAAGGTTTTATATAAAATAGTCAAAGAACTCGTGGGCCACAACGCTGAAACAAAGTTTGTTTTGTTATTATTACATTTTCCTCTCAAAAAAAGTTGCTGTTTTTCGACCTGGCTTCTTCGTTCTCTTCGGAAATTTGAATGAAAAGTTAAACCTTCAGATTAATCAAAGAAATTTTGGTACTGTTCAACTTGATCACGATTTGAAAGCTCTGTAAAGAAAACATCCAAAATCACAAAGTATAAATAAATAAAAACGTGGGTTTTTTTTTTCCCAAAGCTGCTGGATGTACTCACGAGCCAAGATTGTGATTGACGTTGGGGTCTTGTTCGAATATTCCAAGGAAATCTTCTCAAGCCGATCCTCACAAACAGATATTTATACGGCAAAGAACTGTTGGCGCCAAAACACGTTCCGCTCAGTCTTCTCTGTCGATCTCTCGCCGTTATCACCACATCGTCGTACTACTTCCGCGCCATGCCGGGACTCAATTTATTTATGTTCTAAACCAATCACAAGCTGCGGCCACCTTTGTTCTCTTCGTGTCTAACCTCCCTCCCCTTTCCCTCCCCCCCCCCGAAAAAAAGCCCCCGCACCCATAAATGTCTCAATATGTGGCTGGAAACGAATACAAACAAACGAATACAGACGACCCCCCCCTCCACCACCACCCCCCCCCTTCCCTTTTCGTTACACCCCACCCCCCGAAAAAAAGCCCCCGCACCCATAAATGTCTCAATATGTGGCTGGAAACGAATACAAACAAACGAATACAGACGCCCCCCCCCTCCACCACCACCCCCCCCCTTCCCTTTTCGTTACACCCCTTTAGGAATCTTGTTGGCTTGCCATTGTGGGGACATTTTTCTTGCAGGGGCGTCGTGAGGTTTTATGGCCTCTAAAAAGGCAAATGCAATGGTTACCTGGACACAAAATTAATTATTGGAGTTACATTTCTTTTTTTTTTTTTAAATCTTCCAAATAATCACTGAACTAAAGAAGCAAAACTATACGGGATTCTAATCATAACATATAATGTTGGAAGTCAGTTTCAGATGTGTTTTGTTTTAATTCAGTAGTTAATTTTTTTAAAAACATATATTGTGAATAGTCATCGAGAGCTCCCTAACGTCTCCAATTAATTTTTAACTTTTGTTGTTTAAAATGTTGCGTAAGGCGCTCCATGGTGTAAGTTGATAGCGGCATGGAGACATCGTTCTCGACTTAGCGGCACGATTTGATACACTTCCCCCCCCCCTTTTTTTCTTTCCCCGTATCTTCAGATAGAGACACACTACAACTCCACGTTTGAAGGGTATACGTCGTTGCACTGCACCTTTGATAGCGTCTATACTAATTTTCACCTTTGACAGAGACACACTACTCCACGGCACCCGTGACAGAGACACACAACTCCAATGTACCTTTGATAGAGACACGCCACTCCAGTGCCCCTTTGATAGTGACACACCACTCGAATGCACCTTTGATGGAGATACACCACTCCAATGCACCTTTGACAGATAAACGCCACTCCAATGCATCTTTGACAGAGACATTACCCAATTGCGCGTTTGAAAGCAATACGCCTTTAGCTTCACCCTTGTCGCATTTTAGCCACGCGATTAAATTACGTTATTAAGATGCGCCTCTGCATTTCACGTAATCTGCCACCCTACCATCAAAGAACACCTTACCATCAAATACCATCTCAGATTTGACTCGTCTCTTCACGTCTCTATTATTGAGCACTCCCAAAATTTAGTTGAAGAGATTCCTTGGTCTTTAAAAAAAAAAATGTATTGATATTGGAAACTGAAACACGCAGGTCATGCCATGAAAAAGTTTTCCAAGTTGAATCCACGTTGTCTTTATAACTGTGTGGGGGGGGGGGTGGGGTTAAATGTCATGTTTTAAAAATTACGGAGCTGCGGGTCATGGACAAATGATTGAGAAACGAGTCAAAGTAAAAGTATTTCCCATAAATCATTTTCATAAATGTTTACCCGGACGTTATAAATCAGTGCCTCTCAAACCTTCAAGTTTATTTCTGCTCTTTGAGACGCATACGCGGGCTGCGAGTGAAGACGGGGGAGTTAGGGTTTGGTTAGACCCGTTTTTCTTTTTGATGGCGGGGGTCACATTTGCTATACACTGCATCTTATATAATTGAGGGGTTATTAGGGATGTGTATGATTGTGTATTGTATGGTTTTCTTGAGAGAGAGAGAGGCGTCAGAATCAAAAACCAGCCCTTGCGTCACAAACCTTAGCTTCTCAACGCGATGCATGACTCTTTTCATTACAATAATTTGCAAAATGCCAAATTTTCTCTGGTCCATAAACGTACCCCTTTACAAAGCAGAAAAAGGTACGAAATAGTGGTAAGTTATTTCTTACTGTTATACCAACGAATGAATCCAAAGGCTGGTGGAATCCAAGAGTGTGAATGAATATAAGATGTGCAGGAAGCAAAATAAATGTAAGGGGTAAACTTTGGGTGCCGAGGGCGTAGCTAGAGTAAGTGGACCAATCTGTCTTTGACAACAAAAGACCGCAGCTCGCCGAAAATGCTACCCCTTCCTAAAAAGTGCAAAAAAGGCAGGACCCCCCACAACCCCCCCCCAACCTCATCCCTCACATTCTACACCACTGTTTCAGTGGGGGAAAAAAAAAGATAAAATGATGTTTATTGTTGTTATGATAAGTATGCCTTTCGTGACTTGCTCCTATGCGATTATCTTTAAGAAGCAGCTGTAAGAAATAGCTGCGTACTTGTTTGGAATGATGGCGTCGTCATTGATGTTATGCTATGGCCGTAAAGTCGGCTTCAGTTTAATCTCTGTTCCATGTTGATGTTTTAATTTCACTTCTATGTTGACCTTTTTATCTAAGTTCGATGTTATTATTTTAATCTAATCTCTATGTTGACATTTTAATCGTATTTATTGTTGACATTGGTGATTGAATAGATACTGGAATAAAACTAAGATGTAAAAGTGCGGTTAAAAATGTCTCTGTTTCAACATTTCTTTGCCGACCCCTTGCCTTTCTCCCCACCCTCCCCCTCCACTCGGGTCCCCGCCTTACTGTTATAAGAGAACACGAATTAGATCTAGGATGTTGAATTATGTCCTGTAAATGAATCAGTCAAAGCGTAACACAATCTATTTTTAAACTAACACCCCGTAAACAAACACATAACAAAAAAGAAAAAAAGCACACTACCTGAAGCCGTCCTCTCACACAAAAGTTGTTGATACCTGCCCCCCTACTTGTACTTGCACCCTTACCCATCCCCCACCCCAGCTAAAATTACGTCCCAAATAGAGAAATCCACATTTATAATAAAGCCCTTACAGCAGCAGTTCTCAAACTGTGGGTCGCGACCCCTTTTGGGGGGGTCAAACGACTTTTCCACAGGGGTCGACCTAAGACTATCGTAAGACATATATCCATGAAGTAGCATGGTTAGCATGAAATTTATGGTTAGGGGCCACCGTAACATAAGAAACTGTATTAAAGGGTCGCGGCATTGGGAAGTTTGAGACCCACTGCCTTACAGGATGACCCCACGTAAGATTTCGACTATTTATTTTTTTTAGTTTGATATGGACAGATGCAGACGGGGGAGATATCTGATATAAATGACTTAGAATTATATAAAGAGCACCAGAGGCGTCGGAAGGGTGTAGAGGAAGGAGAGCTCCGCCCCAGGGTGGCTTTTTTATATGAAAAAGCGGCTTTTCATGCCGACTGCAATTTTGTTTCCTTGGAATGGGGTGTTAAAAATAGTATCCCATGCCGAGTGACACTACTCTAGTTACGCCACTGTACAGCACTAAAGGCCGTCTGCCATCCGATACTGTTTTTGTCTAAAGTGTTTTATAAATAGAATTTAGTTTTATTCTATTTCAAAGGTTTATTATAAAATCGAGTCCGACTTATACGTTTTCGCTCCGACACCGACACGACAGGTATGCAGCTTGTGCCCTAAATGCCTTAGACTTAAGCTACAATCACCTTGGGTCTGGATTTCAACGTAAGTATAGGTCGACGTACGAGACTCATTTTTTTTTTTTTTGTCGGTACATCCATCTGACGTTGTGCTCACACTGTATCTGATTTTAATCAGCCATCTTGATTGTTTGTCGTGACGACAGTGTTGACCTTTTTAGCCTTGTGAATGGTGTTGATCAGCAGAAAAAACTTACTATGTCATAAACTAAACTAGTTAACATTTCAATGGCTACCAAATTATTTCTCCTACAAATAAAAATTGGTAACTGAAGACCTAGTGCTAAAAGTACTGAAGTCACAAAATACAATTTTTGACATAATCACGTTCAAATATATTCTTTTTGTCTACAAAATGTGATCATTTTCATATTTGGACTTGTGTAATTATGGGACTGGAGCACATTTTAATGTCTTCAAACTTGTGCAATACACTTTGCTGAACCGGATAAGAAATGTTCACCATTTATTGTAGCTGAAAATACAAGTTTAAACGTTTCTGCGATGAAATTCTGGAACAGACAAGTACAACTGAATAAAATACCAAGATTTTTATTTGCTTTCAAAGCTTCTATCCGACAATTTTTCTGGAAATAGAAATAATAATTTGAATTTGACCTCAATTCGTTCGCATGAGAAGTACCAACTGTGGCCGTCAGTGGCACAGCTACTGTCAGCTACCTCCGGAAATACCCATTGCGAACACTTTTGTTTTTTTAACTAGTTTCTTTTTCTTGTCGCATTTCATCTGTCCTGTCCGCTGAGGAAGACTCTTAGCCGAAACATTATTTTTGTCCCGGCTTTCGATTGAAGCTTCCACATTACCTTGTTCTCTTTCCTTGTGTGAGCAACTCGACACTGATTTTGAGTTTGTTTGTTTGCTTCTGTTTTTCACATTGTTTTTTCTACCGAATTCGGTCTGTCAATCAGACTTGAGTTTCGTTGAAATACGGATCCAATGTGATAGCAGCCTTAGACCCAACATGACGGGCCGATCCTAGTACTTGGTGTTTGAACGGAATTGATGCGTTTCCTTGAAACAGGGTATGGGCCATGGACGAGTTGCTATCAATGCTGACTGTCAATATTTGGCCTACTAAATCCGACCGTCGGACAAGTTTACTCGTGTCCCTCCCATTGCGAGATAACACTTTCGAAGACACTAAGAGGGGGATACCGGAAACCGCCATTTGGAGGGGGGAAAAAATGAAAACAGACGTCCAGTGAGTGTGGTGCAGGCCAAGCAAAGAAATATTAGCTAACGGGGCACCCTTAACAGTATCCCAGGGAATGAATTAAGTTTTGAAAAGTCTTCATCCCCCTTGGTTTTGACTTTGCCTTGCCTTACCCACCCAGATCCAGAATTTGCTTACCCCCATGTCTTAACAGGTTGATCAGGTTGACAGTCCACGTTTGCCAGACGGGATTCTTCAGTGTGGTGCCTTTCCTCAGTCATGT